TAATTGAGAAATGTTCTAATGTCATATATTAGTTATAAGACACCTATCTTGATCACCATACTTGATTGTTTATTTTTACACAAAGTAATAAAGTAAGAATTTTATTTATACTTATTCAAAGGTAGCATAAAATTATTATGTAACTTTAAACGTCATTTTTACTGTTACTTCACTCCGAATGTCGTAGTACGAAATGTGACAAAAACTATCTAAATAATAAAATAGATTTACTCATGGAATCGAAACAAGTGAAGGTTCAATAAAACATGGGCTTGTTGCCTTTATAAGTAAACAAGCCAACAAAAGCTACAGTATCAAGAGAAGTATGTAAACTCTCAATACAAAAAAGAATTAACTCCAGATTTTCACGCGAAACCTGGAAGCTTTACGAGCTATACAAAAGTGTGTTTAGTATTTTGTGAAAGATATCTCGTTGCATCCGTAAAGGTGTAGGTACTAGAGCGTTCTTTATAAAATATTTACATTATATTGTAGTCGAAGCGCATCTTGCAACAAGATAATCCGGTGCAAGTGAGCGTCGCTACGAGCCCGCTACGAACCCCGTGTCCGGATGCCGCCCTCCACGAGTAAGCCCGCTTCGCTTCCGCATTTAAATTGCGTACACCTTCTCACTTAATCCAGCTGCAAACGTATTTTAGTACGGTAAGATCTTGACGCTCTCGAATGTTATTCTGAGCGGTACACATGTCAAGGATCTTATTATAACAAACCGTCTTTGCTTCGCTTTGACAGAGAAAGCCAAAAAAATGTTCACGTGATTATTACCTAAATGCCTGTCTGGTATAAAAACCTAGAATAAAAGTCTATAATGGGCGTTCTAAATCAATACTCATTTTTGTCCGAATCTTACTAATATTATAAATGCGAATGTTTGGATGGATGGATGGATGTTTGTTAGAAGGTATCTGTAGAATGGCACAACGAAACTCGATGAAATTTGGCATAGATGTAAAATATATATGGTTCTACCTACTACTTCCTACTTGTTAGTAGGGTTATGTATATTTTTAATTCCTCGCAGACGGAGTCGCGAGCGACAGCTAGTAATAATATAAAAACTAACAGTAATAATAAACGCAGGTAGCGTAACCAAATTTAGAGTTATAAAACGGCAGTCAAGTTTGAATTCAATGAATGTTCCTGTGTCGCAATATAGAACACTGCCTCTGCATTATTTTCATTTTATTTCAAGATACGTCGACGTTGGGAAATGTACAGGATGGAGGTTGTAATTTAACAGTAGTTTTGTTCCGCCGGCTATTCTGTTGATGCGTTAAATTTAAATAAACTTTATTTTTAACGAATATGAAACGAAGTGAAACAATTTACTTTCTATGTCACGGGCTCTTAGTTCAAATCCAGCCAAAATTTTTTGCGGCCTTTTATTTTGATTATCTATATATAAGAGAAAGTCGTGTTAGTTACACTATTTATAACTCAAGAAAGGGTTTACTGATATGGCTGAAAATTGGTGAGGAGGTAGCTTAGTGCTTAGACGAGCTGCTTTTCATTTAACTTGCTAATATTATAAATGCGAATGTTTAGACGGATGTGATGTGGATGGATGGATGAGTGTTTGAAGATGTCTCTAGAACGGCTGAACGGATCTCGATAAAATTTTTTGCACACGTATAGAATATAGTCTGAAAGAACACATAGGCTACACTAATTAAGTTTTTTTTATTATATATATCCACGCGGACGGAGGCGCGGGCGACAGCTAGTTTTTAATGAAACATTTATTTACCAACTTATTCAAATGTCAAACACATAGTATAATTGAGCAAGGAATGGATACAGAAATATTTTAAGTAAAGTACAAAATTTAACAACTAAGTGATCTAAACGAAAAGTCTACTTTTGTTAAAAAATATGACCGTCTTTTATAACGAGAGCTTAAGCCAAGTGACACAATTAACTCGGCTTACGTAACACAAGTAGTAGACAGTTAGTAGAGAGAATATGACAACGGAGGATGCTTCGTGATAAGTGTTTTATGCACCTTATTTCACTAGTTTTTTTTGCTATTGTTAATCCATTTTTAAGGGTTTAACCGTATTGTGAGTAGAATTAAATCTTACTAACTTTATAAATGCGAATGTTTAGATGGATGGATGGATGTTTGTTTAAAGGTATCTCCAGATCGGCCGAGTGGATCTCGATAAAATTTGGAATAAAGAGCATAGTCTGGAAGAACACATAGGATACCAATTATGATTTTTTTAATTCTGCGCAGACGGAATCGTTGGCGAAAGCATTTTTCTAAATAATAAAACATTTTTCTCTTTTTATTTAAGCTTACAATTATTTATTTCATATATGAGAAGGAAATATATAATGTCTTGTAAGAATTATAAGATATAATATCGTCTGAAAGTTACGCACGACGACAAAAGAACGGAAATAAGGTTCTAAGAGTTTTGTGAGTGAATCAAAAGGTATCCCGATCTTAAGATGAAGGCCCACTTGCATGAGAGCTTTCGTACAACCGGAACTGTTGAACGTACCAATCAAATAATATTAAAGAATGACAATTTTCAATGGAAAACAAAAAAAAATTCATACATTAGAGAAAAGACACATTCTGTGTTGATTTTTTTTTAATTTAATATTTAATTCTCACGGCATATTGCCCTTGCTTTACCATTTGACATTTTTATGTTTCATTGTAAATGAAAAAACTTTAAAAAATATCAAATGATATTTACATTTGTGTATAGTAAGACCTTAACACAACGTTTGTTAGAAATGCAGGTTTGAGGACGAATAATCTCGAAGAGTTCTTTATAATTTTAAAAATTTGAATAATTCCCATCGCCTCGGTTTGTTTGTAAGTATTTTAGTAATGCTTATTAACCGATTCCATGGTATATGAATATTCATTTTACCACAATTCACGGCGACTGGAAACAACACGTATTGCATTTAAAACAAAAAAAAATTACGAAACTATTTGTACGTCGTCGCCGTTTTACGTCATCAGGGGCGTTAGTGTTTCAATATGTCCGTTTCGGTGATTAGAGAGATATTTATAAAAGAGCAACTGTTTCCATAGTTTTATCAGTGACGGAAAAATGGCTCGTCTGACTTTGTTACTTATTGTTCTTCTCTCTGTAGCTTTTGTGATTGTAAGCGGAGGCAATAATACGAATTCCTCCACAACACCAGCAACTCCGAAGGCGCCAAATGCCAAGCCTCCTTCGATACCTGGGGCAGGGGTAAGTAACAATTTTTATATTACACGTTATTATTTATTTTTCTAAAAATTGATCAAATCATTTCATAACTACACCATAATCTACAAAAACTATATCAAAATGGTGGCACTTTATCATTTGACTTTTTTCTACCAGTTTTATATCTGTAAATAAAATTAAAATTAATGTAACAAACACAAAATATGTTTATGAATGCATATATCAGAATTCTAGTCCATTTTATGAACGGAAAAATACGAATGATTTTAAACACAAAAGAATAAAGATATGTTTTTATTACAAATGAATTTTCTTTATGATTTCAGACTGTAACGAAATTAATAGAAGCAGCTGAAGAAATACCAAAAGCGATAGTAAATACTTGTGTTGACGTAAGTATATTACAATAAGTATATAATTTATTAAATTTTATAATAAACTATAATAAAAAAACTGTACGAATTTCCTTGATTTTTCCTACTGAAAAGAAAATTTGTGTTAAAAACAGGCTAATAAATAAATGAAATCATTTATATTTTGTATACCTCAAGTGAGATTTTGTATTTTTTATGTAATGAGTTTTTCTTTTTCAGACCTTTGAAGCGTTCGGAAGTTTGTTTGGTAATCCCTTTGGTTAAAAGAAGATCCGAGATAAATGATTTCATTATGTGAAAAAAATAAAACGTAATTTATGACATTTTTGTGTTTTTCTTTTAAGTTCTTTATGGTTGATTAATACCAAAACGGTATTCATAAAACTGTTTAAATAAGTTAAAAATCTCTTCACCACTCAGAATTTAACTTATAATAATCCGAAAAATTCGCGATCCCCTAACGATCCCCTATCTAAGACAAAAGTCCCATAGAGGCACCATTAGCTAGAGTAAAATGTTTATATATTTAACATACACTTACAATTATTATGGTAATTATAAATCAATAAATTGTGTTTTTTTAATAAAATTGATGAAAAAATTATAGTAATACTAAACAGAGAAACTTTTCTTTAAAGATACTATTTTCTCTCTGTGCAGGTTTGTCGACGTTTAATCATTCAGTTCATTCTGTAATTCAGTTCATTTAAACTAATAGAATGTTTATTACCAGATCACTCGCCGACGCCCTTTTTAGAATCCTAAATCTGAGAATGTCTAGCAAAGTCTTAAGTCAAGAAACTAGCTACGCGACGAAATAAATTCGATACCTAAATCTGGGCTATTTCCATTTAAATGTTAATAGCACGGATTCTATAAAATATGTTAATTTACAATTCTTTTTTCAGAAGTATGTATGTATTAAAAATAATGCATACGCGGTTCCTCTTTTGTTACAGATATCTATGGACGTTCGATCACGTACCAATACTGCTTGTCTGCACCCTACGCCTATAAAATAAATTCTTAAAAGCTGTTGTGATTCCCTCCACGTGGAATTAAAAACAAACTTAATTAGTAGCCTATGTGATCTCCGAGACTATGTTCTAAATTCATGCCAAATTTCATCGAGATCTGTTGAGCCCTTCAACAGATACAAACATACATACATCCAATGCATTTATAATATTAAGTTTGAAATTATATATTAGTTAGTATTCCAAATTCAAAAGTCGAATAATACAATGTCAAAATGAAGCAAGTGTACAAATATATTTTTTTGTTTAACAAAACGACCCAACCTTGTAAGTAATACCCATGAAGGAGCCTGTAGCACGTAAACAATTAAATGGGTTAAGTCAGTTTAAAAGAGCAATCGTCTCGTACCATCTACACAGTGTTAGAAATGTCGAGCGTGCGGAAATCGGTAATACTGTTAATGTTAGCACTTTACTTTAGTGTAATTGTACGTGGTGAAAACGTTAGTACTGCAGCACCGGCACCACATCCTTTATCTTCTATCGATGTTAGACCTTCAGGAGTAAGTCTTCTAATTAATTTAATAATTTTAATTTAGCTTAAGTTTAGTCCTCTTTTCCACCCTTTCATACAAGAAAAGCATGGGCACGGCAAGTGGATTTGACCTGTTGATGGGCATCGCATCTATTTCTATTCGCTATCGCTATTTCGGCGAATTCAGGTTTCTGTTGGTTTGCCACCTTACGATATAAAGAAGTAACCTTAAATGTATATAAGAACGAACCAAAGTTGGCAATATTTTGCCTAAATGTACTTACTTCATATCATTTAATCTGCATCTATTGTTTTTCAGGCTATTGCAAGTTTTCTTAAAATGCTCGTTGACATACCGTTGGCTTTAGTGGAAGCATTTAGAGATGTAAGTTTTTACTAACTTTGTAAAATTGTTGTTGATTTAATGTACTTCTTTTAATTGTATCGTATTTAATTTCAGGGTGCTGAAGGAATTGAAAAAATTGTACTCGGCTCGCTTAGAACATTTTTTTAAGCAACAGACACATAACCAGTGAAGGACAAGAAAAATTGTACAGGCTTACAGTGGAAATGAACCCTCATTTCCACTGTAAGCCTGTAAAAGTGATGTAAATCCAACAATATTGTGAACGCCTACCCACCTTGTAATTTGCTTATACAGATGAACTTTATTCACACTGTTTAAATTAAAAGCTTCTGAAGATTGTTTGTAGTATAAGTTGGTAATAAACAGTTTAAGGCTTTATTTTTATGTAATAACGTGTTTGAATTTTGAAACACAAAAATTAGTGCATATATTTAGGGTCAAATGATGCGATAGCTTATCACAATATTTTTGCAATTCTATTGAGATTTAAACTTAACGCTTTTTTTTATTTCACTGCCATCTTTTAAGAAAGAATCGCACTAACGCCTTATTTCTCACCAAACAGCGCCACCTATTGATGTAATGTAAACAAATGTAATTTAAGTTGCAAAGTTACGTTGATAGATGGCGTCTTAAACTCAACTTACTATTAAAAACCTCGTAAAGGAACACGCACACTGGCCCGCGCCGGATGCACTGTACGCATGCTCCGTAACGGATTTTAGTTTGCTTTGTATGATTTTAGATAGCACCGTATCCATCATTCGCGTCGACCGCATCGCATCAAGACATAGCAAATCCGTTAAATCCATTGCATGCGGTGCGTTCGGCGCGGTCCAATGGACACGTATAGTACACTTATAGCACCTATATTACTATTCTACATGCAAAGATGCTTATAAATACCATACGACACAACAAGCAAAGCGTGTGTGCTAAAGCAGGTCTAATTCTATGGTTAGAAATTTGTGTAAATATATAAACACAAAAGATGTGTAATATCACATTTATTACATTTACTGAGTTTGCACATGGCGTTTACATATATACTAATTTTACAACAAAAATATATTATGTATTTATCAAAACGATAACAATATAGAATATTTTGATGAGACAAGCACAATAAGTGTACATTAAATACAACATTTAAATACGTTTGGTAACATAATAAAAGCTAATTTAAATTTGTTTTATAATTCCTATTCAGAAATCTTTTATAATCTGTAACATTTATATGTATGAGAAAAATAAGTCTATTTAAAATAACAATAAACTTGAATATCAAGTTCGTAATACAGACATTTTGACCAATACTTTAATATTATAAAACTAATTAAAAGATAAATATATTGATTTACATTGAAAAATAATTATTTCATTTACACAGTAAATCAATTAATTAAAAACTTAATATTTCGTACAAAGACAATTTATATTTATTTCTCATTAATATTTACTTCCAAATTCCACAATATGACTTAAATATAAAACATAAATTTAACATGGGGGTGGGTCATTTAATTCTAAAATAGCAAATAAAAACTAATACATAGCGAAATTCTTTTCCGTTCCATCTTACAATAAAATATCACATCTCTGTAATAACTTAATCTCTCAAACGCAAACCTTAAATTAAATGTAACTTTTGAAACAAATTTAAAATACAATTGTTACATATCAGTAGGTATTTGATTAAAATTAAAGTTTTTGATAATCAAGAATGAGCAAGAAAGTATAGAAAAGGCGTAGAGATCAAAATAAGATTAGAAATTATGCCGAGAATCTACTGATACGGGGTTTATTTGACTAGACCATTTGGTACATTTATGTAATTATTTGTATTCATCGGTTTCTTTTCAAGGTCAACGTCGAATGTTATGTACGTTGGGTTGCTGACAGCGCTATTTTGAATATTCTTAAGATTCTGTTTCGTCTCGAATACATCGTCAGATTCTTCTTCAATACGTGGACACATATTAAGATACGGTGATGAATTACCATCATGGTCCGACTCTGAACCACTTCTTGCTGGTAAATTGTTGAGTGTCAACATGGGTGTGAGTTCGGAGCCGTGAGTCGTTGCTTCGGTACGTGGGTTCAGTTTTCTTGCGTCGAAATCGAATTTAGTACCCGTAGCTCGCGGACTGAATATTGTTTGTTGTGTTGCTGGACTCATTTGTAAGTAACCTTCATCGTCTGTAAATGATAAATAATAAATAATTACTAATTAAAAAAATATATAAAAAATAAAGAGTACATTTAATATTCATAGCACATGTTTAGAAATATAGAATATATAATAGAATTGAAAGAAACCAAATATGTAAAGTATGCCTGTGCTCTTTTATGTATTATAAAATATGCAAGAAAAAAACAAATAACTAAATTAATCAATAATTAACACAACAATTACTACAAGTCGCCACCTTTGAAAAACCTTTCAGAATCTACGAGAAAGCAACATCCAAAAGCCGTCATAACAAAAACAGCATTCATATATTAACATAATAACATTAAATTTATAAAATCAATAAAAAGAATATTTCGTTAGTTACATTTATAACTACATGCCTTAGATATTTTATTACCGTACCAATAAATTGACCAGGTTCTTGAAATCAAAATGACGTAACCTTGATCCCGGCTGATAAAAACAAAATAAAGAAATTGAAATGAAAATATTAAATCATAGCCGATTTAATTTTGCGAAAAGGTAGTCGATTATTTTTAATTTTTTTTATTTTATTTTTTTATAACAGAAGGGGCAAACGAGCAGCGGGAACACCGAGGTGTTCAACGACTCAATTACTCATCGGCTCGACGATGAGATTCAACTAAATAAAAGACAAACACATCTCTGTTCTCATTTGAGGTTTGTGTAAGATAATCCTAATATAAGAAAATAAGTCGTTAACTAAAAGTGATAAAACTTTTATAATTAGTAAAATTATAACTAAATAAAAAAAATACTCAAAAAGTTCACCTAAAGTTAAAACGGAAACTTATAAAGTAGAATAAATCGTTTACCGTGCTGTAACTGCGTAGGTGTAGGTGGGAAGAAACTCCTACTGTCATTGACGTATTGGTGCGGGCTCGGTGTCACCAGGTTGTTGTAGTCAGGCGCGCAAACCATTGCTAAATAGTCTTCCTGACCCTCCGCTTTCACGTTCATATCGATGTATGCAGAATTCAGATCCACATAATGCTGGAACCAAATTTATTTTTAAAGAATCTTTGCAATCTCCAAACTCGGCGTCGTGTTGTTGACGGCTTGGTACCAACACGCAAGTTATCTGGCCATTTTCAAATACAATATGAGTCTAAAAATGTTTTAACTGCAAAAGTAATTTAAATAGCGTAAACCCGGTAATTGAACTGATCGCCAACCTTCGCTAGTCGGAGAGGCACCTCAAGAAGAAGAAACCCGGTAAATGTTCAAAAAAAATACTAAAATTGAAATATCAATTTGTACCAATCTTACTCATTCTTATTAATATTAGAAATACGAATGTTTTGATGGATGGATGGATGTATGTTTGAAGGTATCTCCAGAACGGCTCAACGGATCACGATGAAATTTGGCATAAATGTAGAACATAGTCTAAAAGAACACATAGACTACTTGTTGTTTTTTTTTAAATTACGTGCAGACGGAGTCGCCACAACAGCTAGTGTAATATAAAGTTTCAATAACAAATATAATGTTATAAGTAATTACAAATTAGATAAGAAACTCACATTTCGAACGTTATCTTCAAGGAATTCACCAAGTATCTCTTGTAGCTGAGTGAAGGAGGGCCGCGCGGTGGGTTTCTGAGCCCAACAACGTAACATCACTTCGTACAGACGGTCATCCGCATACATCGGCTTCTCCAAACGATGGCTGGAAAGCAAGAATATTATACATTTAGTATGAGCTTAGTAAGAAATATAATTACATAATTATTTCGAACAGTCTCATTTTGTTCACAAGTAATTTAACTATTTATCTTTGAATTGAAGAAACTTTCAATGTGTAACAACACTTGAGGATAAATACATTTAAAACATCAAACTCTTTACTCCTTTTTGTCTTCTCTCATAGTAAAATAACATACCCTTCAGAGAGCCGCTGCAGTAGACTTGGTGGGCTGATGTTAGGGTAAGGCGTTTTTGCCAATGAGAACAGCTCCCACAGCACCACGCCGAAAGACCAAACGTCGGACTGCGTTGAGAATATGCGGTCTGT